TATATATATATAAAGAGGGGAAATCAATGCAAAACCAAAAACATTCTCAAAGTACAAGTAAGTACAACAATACTTTTTTATAAAATGGAACGAGAACTTGCAAAACCTGCAAAACTGAACCTTTGATTTTTGGAGTTTACACCAGGGACAACAAGGCAGCAAAATTTACTGTGAACAAGACTCACATTCAAGTTTGTTTTACTTTTTTTTTTTTTTTCTTAAAAATGTGCTTAATGGTAAAAATAATCCTTGTTTTCCTCACAGACTAAACTTAAGAAATCCCTTGGTGCTGAATTTTCAAGGCAAAACGTGAAACACCGGTTAAGGTTTTGGTTTTACAGACAAAGCATAAAAGGCCGTTCAGTGCCAGCCGTAGAGAAACGTGATCGCCCTACTACAGCCTGTCAGTACTTTTGAGATGCGTATGTTTTTATTATGACTGCTTACTGTTATCCAGTCATTCTCTTTTAGTGCCTATCACGCAGAAATTAAAAGAGTTTGAAAGGAAGAGTCCAATGGTCTTACTAGCATTTGTGATCTCATTTCTTCATGTTAATGTTGTGCTAAATTCAGAGTTCTCACTCAAAGTTTCGTCTAACAACACATTTCCAGAAATTCCTAAACTCAACTTTTAACACGCCTCATTCCTTTGCAACCATGTTAAGGTAAGAAGACGAATGTAAAATCTATAAACTTTAACTATCAACATTCAACACTAAATAATAATAAAAAATATTTGCACCCGTCATCAATATGAAAACAGTTTTGCTTAGGAACACTTTCCAATGTGAAGGTATGAAAGAATGCACTTCTTGTAATGTATCATAGCTGTACTTGACAAAAAAATATGAAAATGTCTTCACTTCATCATACAAGCTCACACCGTACTTGCGCTATGGGTGTGTTCTAAAATCAAAAGCATCGGCCCGGTTTCTATTCGTTCGCCAGACATTCTTCCTGAATTGTCAAAGTGAAAACTCAACGGCCAAAAAGATTTGTGGGAGGAAACACTCTAAGGAGAGTGCTGAAAGAAGTGTTGACAATGCTAAAATCACTGAGCCCTTTGAATTTGACCAGGCGTTGCACCATATTTTAGAATCTAAGCACTTATTTTATGTTCAACTGAAGTTCATTTGCTAAAATGTTCCTAGTGTCTCAAATTATTTCTAGGGTTTATTTTTTTAACCGGCTATTTTCTCTAACCAGAGAAGAGAGGTTGCATTTCAACACTTTTTGATGAAAGTATGGGCTTTCAGTAAATAGGAAAAACATTTGGACAATCTTTACACATAAGTGTGTTTCAGTTCCAATTTTGTCTGTAAATTATCACAATAAAATTAGAAACAAGCAAAAAAAAATTTTTTTTTACTTAAATTATTTTGATACATTTAAATTTGCAAGTATGAACTCGTTTTCTTCTTTAAATGGAAAAAAAAAATACTGCACGCATTTAATGTGGATAAGCAGCAGTTTTGCATAAGCAGGATTTCCTTCCTGACAAAAATAACTGTGATACTTTTTGCTACGAGTGAGAAACTCTGGCTGCGGATGTGCTGCTGTTTTTATTAAACACAATTTCCTGTCAATCAATAAGTCTGCATCCTTTTAAAACTAATCTTCTGCTTTATCCGTTATGTGTTAGATATCAGTTTAGACGGTTCCTAAAATCTTACCAGCGATACCAATCATATTGATAACAGGGGCAGCAGAAGGAAAATATTGTGAAAAATATCGATGCTGGTGTAAATATTTTACTTCACTAAAGTGGGAAACCATTAATTCTTTGGGTCGTGAATACAGAAATGTAAACAAGAAACACTCATAACTTGTGTTTATCAGAATCTTATTATTAAAACATATCCGAGGAACTGTGCTTCAAACATAAACAAGCAGAAATTTGGACGGTGGCGAAATAGTTGGAACTGGATGGAATGGATAAAGTATCTCTTATCATTCATGGATTAAACTAATTAGAAACAATAATAAATAAATTTGTACTAAAGTTGCAGATCCAAGCCTTTTCAATCACAAGCTACACTACGGCTCTCAACTAACAAGCTTGAATAAATAAAAAAATAGAACATTTCCTTAAAGAACATAAAATTTGTAAGTGCGTTTGCTCCCTATCTCACAGTTTTTCTTTTTTTTTTTGTTTTTAGTTACATTAAGGCCATTTTTATTACAGCATATGACCACAAACATTTGCTGAACACATTTCACAAATATTTGGCCATTACATGTTCACAGCAGATGTTGGTGGAGAGTCACCAAGGCAAAGTTTTGAATTGAGCCCTAACACAATGCTTGTTTATCGTCTTCCTTAATCATTCCTCATACTTTACTTCCAAACACTTGTGAGTTTATATCAGAATGACCTGTGCGTTTCTCCTGCTCCTAACTGTGTACTGTCACTAATGTATCGCTACTTTAAGAGGCAGAGGCTGATGAAAGTGAGAAAAACAGTAAACGGTGAGTAAACTAACTTCTAAGACGTTACTCTGCCTTGGATCCTTTGTCTCTGGATGGATCCTTAAGGTAGGTGTTGTAAAAGAAGGAAGCAAACAGCACCAGATAGCTGAGATATATGACTGTGCCCCACATGATGTTCTCCATGTTGGAGGGACAGTGGACTTCATGCATCCACATGTACACTAAGCCTAGCACAGCCAGGCCCATTACCATCTGCAGGATCTGGGCCGTAGTGATGATCATGGCGAGTGGCCGGGGCACCCGCAGTCCAGCTGCCCGGGCCGCATAGTACGTGTACATGATGGAGTGAACCATGTAGTTCATGGTCATGAACCAGCCGCCGCCCGCCACCAGGTCCTTGTAGGAGAACCAGGAGTAAACCAGCACGGTGATGTGGTGGTACCAGTGCAGGAAGATGAGGCGCTGCTTTCGCAGGATGATGAACGCTGTGTCTCCTGGGTGAGTCGGGAAAGAGAATTTAATCTGTATTTTAAAAGTCATTAAGATATTATTTACCATTTCTTTCACAATTTAGATCTTTTTTCTATTTATGAAAGCCTAATGGACACATTTATAAATTTAATTCTATAAAAATGGCAATTTTATTAAAGTGTCTCAAAGGATTTACTGTTATGTCTTCTTTGCAAAGTGCTTTTCTCTTTTTTTTTTTAAATGTTTTTACTGTATATTTTATTCTTATTTATATGCTTTATAAAATCAAAATGTAAACAAACATAATTTGATGCATTTCCATTTTGTATGTTTCCTTACTCACAAGATTATTTCCATAGCTGCACAATGGAAAGTGAAATTTGTCCACCCTGTGCTAGTTTTAAGAGCTATTAGCGCTGTTAGCAAGCAAAGTGAGCATCAACATATGCAAAGACATCAAAAAGCAAAAATTACTTTTTAAATATCCTTGTCAGTTCAGTGAAATTACTGTTTTCACTTGGTCATTAAACAGGTAATTTAATGGGTGCTCACACCTTCTTATCAGAGTCTACAACTATATGGTAGCCATTTAGCACCACTACTATTCTTGTTCCTACTGACTAGCTTAATTTACAGAAGAAAATAGGTCTTAGTTCACCGACTCTCTGAATTTAAAAAAACATATTTGCTGCAAACAGAACCATGTACTCCATTAGCTAGTCGTTAGCAACTTCTAAAAATAAGTCTAGAATAATTGTCACTGTATAAAAGTCATATTCCAGAGATTACCTGTGCCATTAGCTGTGCAACTGGACTGGATGTTAACATCAATAGTACTGCTGATGCTAATGGCTAGCTGAATTTACAGAAGGAACTATGGCTTTCACGTAGTAAACTGTGGAGAATTTAATGCATATAACTGTGCTTTGTGCAGATCAGTTTCAGGATGACAAGCTAATTCATTCACAAAAAGGTCCTTTTTAACTCTACCCTAATGTTAGATCACATAGAAGTATTAGCACTCAGAGCTGTCTTAACATTTGCAAAGAATTGTTGAATGATAGTTGACAGATGTAGTGCTCTTACTGTAACACTTATAAAACATATATTATTTTGGGCTTATTTAGCTTACTAAGTGAAAAAATATGCTAACTGCTGTTAGATGGTGCTAAAAGCTTACAAGAAGCAAGAAGAAGCTACTTCTAGCTTCTTGTAAGCTAGAAGTAGCTAGCTTACAAAGGGAGCGAGAGTGTCAACCAAATTTATGTTATTTTTTTAATGACAAAAAAATCTATACAACAAAATTAATGGATTTTTATCACATCATGTGCATTTTTTACTGTAAATGCACATGATGTGTTAACAGTAGGTACAGTGCACGGTTAGTACAAATGGAGACATTTTTATCTGGTCTGTACATAAAAAAAAATGTTTCAAGCCAATCATTTTCTGACCAAAAAAAAACTTGTCAGATTCAAAATAAATCTATTACTGCAACACGATGGTAAGGGACATATTTTAAAATTAATTCTAAGTGACTAGTTTGCAAAAAGGAAATTGGGTTAAGTCACCTCTAAAACTGAAGTATTTCAAGTAATTCCTCTGTGATGTATTGTTTATTTTTCATAATCTATTCATGTAACTCTATTTTAAAACTGATAAAATGTAAAAAAATAAAAAAAACAAAACAAAACAAAAAAAAACATAAATCAGACCTTCATAATTTAAACTGAACATCTCAGCCATGGCTTTCCAATCCCATTCCCTTTAAAAAAAGAAACATCCTCCAGTTCCAAGCAGTGGGAAAGCGACTACGTCCTTCCTGCTTGCAGCTGAGGAAACATTCTTCATTTCACTCCTGCACTAAAACAACTTTCTCACTGCCAGAGCATCTAGCTCTTTTTCTGTAGATCAATCGGCACCATCTGACCCACAGATTCTCTTTGGAGATGTCCAGAGCCAGGCCATTACGAGCATTATGAATTTCTCAATTTGATGACAGCAAAGGTTTATTCTATTCTACTGCGTTGTGATATGCGCTACTCTACTGCCCTCTGAACTCCTGAATAAATGTTGATATTTTCATTTTGGAACTGGTTCATACCATTATGTTGCACAACCTCAAATTGACTGACTGGTACAATGCAGGGCATTAAAAATATAAAAACAAGAATATAATCCAGCTTCAAACAAAACATTTGAAAATAAACAGAGGGAATCTTACCGAGCTCAGGGGCCTTGCTAATAGCAAAGGCGTAGGACCAGAACTTGGTGATTGGTGCGTTGTAGAAACTATTGTCACACACGGACTGTTTGAAGCCGCTCTTCGTGATAATGTGCAGCATGTATTTTCCAGTCCTGACCGCTCCGATAATACTGAATTGTGAAGAAAGAATTTGTAAAAGAAAGGACATTTTAATATTTTAATGAATACATAAACTCTGATAAAACCATAAAACTTAAAATTACTGTGAAGAAAACCGCACCACTCTGCAGTTTTCTTCACAGGTGTAAGAAACAATCAACTTAAGCATCGTAAATGTTTTGTTTGATGAAAATGCTTCGTAAAGAAACAATCAGTCATCTCAGAGTTGCAGGAAAATAGAGAGGCTTGGTTGTTTAACTGTTTTATGGCAGCAAATGTGTTGACGTGTAAAAGCTTTTAGCTCACCGCAGAGCAAGTTGGACTCACCTGAAAATGGCGAGGCTCAGCGACCACAAAGCCAAAGGTCGGCGCAGGTTTAGCTTCGGCCTTTCCCTCATGAAGTGTCGGCCTCCGAACACGAGCGCAGCGTACAGGCCACAAAATATGAATGACTTGCTCCTGCAGAGAGGAACAGGCGGTAAGCACCCAAGCCTCTGCAAAACTCCAAACAACACAACACACTCAACACGCTAAAACACACAGGGATGCTACGATTGTTTAGAATGTGAGTGAAATGATTTTAGTTTTTTTTTTTTTTTTATTGGCTGCTACCAACCAGAGTCTGATATTTTTCACCCCGTTCAGTAAATGGGCCTCAGCAAAAGAGCTAAACAGCCCCTTTAGGGGAAAAATTATTATTATTTTTTTTTTTTACAAATAAAAATCTGAAAAAATGGTGGCTTTTCACAATTTTATGCATTTACACCCTTAATTTAAAACACCTAAATACGAACCGGTGCACCTATTTGCCTAAGAATGTACCAATTAATTAGAGTTAACTCGTACAATTAACTCTAATTTATTTTTTTGCAGTAAATAAAGACCGCAAATTAATTTCAGTCTTTATTTACTTTCAGTGAAGACCTCAGAGGTTTGTTAGAGAACGCAGTGAGCAAACGGCCTCAGGAAGAACAAGGTGCTCAGCAGACAAGGCAGAGATAAAGTTGTGGAGAAAATTAAAGCAGAGTTAGGTGAAAGTGATTTCATCCTAAACTAACAAGCCGGTCAAGGAGAGCCTTTAAGAAGTAGTCAAGAAGCCCGACTCTGAAGGAGCTGCAGAGATTTACAGCACTGGTGGAAAATCTGCCCATTACACAACTAGTACACCCCCCACATTACAAATTTAATCTTAAAATCTCTGAATATATTGGAACTGAATGTACAAAGTTGGCAAAAATAGATCTGTAAGAGCACGTTCCAGTAGGACAATGACCTTAAGCAAACAGCCAGAGCAATGGCGTAGCCACGTGTTAGACTGGCCTAGCCAAAGTCCAGACATAAAACCAATGTACAATGCTTTGAATTACTTCAAATTAATCAATGTCCACAGACTCTCTTCAACAGTCTGACTAAATTTAAGGTATTTTGCAAGGAAAAATTGGAAAGATAAGATATACCCCAAAAGACTTTCAGTATGTATTGTGTTGGTCCATCACATACGATCTCCATAAAATACATTTAGATTTGTTCAGAATGTGGCCATAGGGGTAGCAGTGTGCCTTGAAGAGGGTAAACAAGAACAATGAATCCAGGAAATCAAACATTTACCTCACCCACGGTTCAATAATCACATGTATGAAGTAAGTTTTAACGATCAGTGTATTTTTAACCTGGACCGAGATCCAAAGGGCCTCAGAGAATCGAGAGTCAGATGAAGTCATATTTGCTTTATAGTTCTGCTTTTTTGGTTTACACCCGCCAACTGTTATGCAAGAGGAATTTGACACATTTACTGTCAAGTGATGCCAAATAATCAGAAAGCGATTGATTAATGTAGTTTTTTTAGCACTCTAAATAATTTTTCCATTTTTTTTGTAACAAGATATAGATTTTATTATCTACCAGGTGGCCCAACAAAAATCATTAGAAAATTGAAGGAAAATTCACTTATTCTAATCTCATGTTGTTGATCACATACATCCATAACATGGTATGTTTCCAGGTGGGCCATACTCTTTGCATTTTCTGCAACTTTCAGAGGCAGTTGGGTTTCACAGGACTGTTCGCAGACTAAAAACAGGTGTGAATACAGAAGTATGTCACTTTTCAGATTTGCATTTGTAAAAAGCTTTGGAAACCATGCATCATTCTCTTCCTACTTCACAATTATATATATATATATATATATATATATATATATATATAGTTTGCCTCGGTTTGCCACTTTAAATCCCAATGAGATACGTTGACGTTTGTGGTTTTAATCTACCATCTTCTGGATTATTATCTACCTCAAAAATGCGGCCAAACCTGTGAGACTGACAGGCTCCTCTGTGGGTTCACCCCCACTTCTCAAATCACTTTTGCAAGGAATGCTCCTCATTCCTCTGGGGAGTGAGGAGCAGGGTTGTCACAATCATTTAGAGCTAGAAAAATGAATTAATCACAGATATTCATTTGCGTCAAAATCCGTAAACTGACCCAATCTCGTTTTCCCAAATAGACTTCGCAGCAGAGCTCCAACAACAGATACTCTTAACCCATACCCTCCTTGCAGTCACTCACCCGATTACAAACATGAGCTCTACGTGGAGGATACATTCCAGAAAAAAAAAAAAAAAAAAAAAAAAAAAAAAAAAAAAAGGGCTGTTTTTTTTTGTGTGGGGGAAAAAGAAATTTGTTGG